TGCCAGGTTTGAAGTCGATCGGAGCGTATTTTATGTTATTTTTGCTAATTAGAACATATTAGTTTTTAAAAATGAATAAAAAATCAGATGATGATGTCATGATGACGTCACTTCAGATTTTAAATGTTTTTATCAATATCTACCTACCCACCAAGTTTCATAACGATCGGACATACCCTTATATGTAAATAAAAGAAAATCACGTTTTTGATGACATCATGATGACGTTACACATTTAACGAAATGACCTAATAAACCTTTTACAAAAAGAATTTCGAATTTACCATGTTCCGTTGATGAGATATGACTAAAAGGTCCAAAAATGGAATAATTCATATAAAATCACATGATGACTTCATCGTGACGTCACTGCAATTTTTGTCTATAACACATCCCAGAATACATGCATACTGAGTTTGAACCAAATCGGACTTGCGGTTCTGTAGATATAGGGCCTTAAATTATGCACTTTTAGGATTACGTCACGTGACATGTGATGACGTCATGATGACGTCATGATTCGGCATACATCTTCAGATGGTGGTCTAAGTGTGTGCCAGGTTTGAAGTCAATCGGATTTGAAAAAAGGTCCAAAGGTGCCCTGTAGAACGAAAACATGTGTTATCCTATGGGAAAAAAGTGGAAGAAGAAAAAAAACTAGAACTATGTTGTTGTGAGTGAACAACCACAGAGCTGTTCCCAACATGTTTTTGATTGTCTATTGCAAAGTAGAAAATGATTCAATGATTTTTTTTCAAAAATCTGTGACTTTTAAAAGCAATCTGTGACTTTTAAAAGCAATATATAATTCATGTGATGAGATATGATAAGTAGGGTCTAAAATTAACACTTCTGGTAACACCGGAAGTAAAGGTCACATGACCTTGACAAATACCAATTTTCATTGACAACACTTCCCGGTCTATATACCCACCATGTTTGACATCAATCGGTCAAATGGTTCCTCAGTTATAAGACTGTAAACATGCATCATTAAATATTCATGACGTCATAACGTGAATGCAATATACTGCCCATTTATAATAACGCAACATATTTATCCTTAAAGGATTACCTACTGCTAGGTGTCAACCCCATCAAATTTATAATTCATTAGATATGCTAATAAGGGTCTAAAATTAACAATTTCGGTAATACCAGAAGTAGGGGTCACATGACCTTGACATATCAATGTTCATCTACATGTATAACATTTCCCTGTCTATCTACCAACCAGGTTTGAGATCAATCGGTCAAATAGTTCTATAGTTATAAGACTCTAAAGATAGTCTCATTAAATATTCATGACGTCATAACATGACAATAATTAAGTGCACATAATGCAATATAATTACATGTATCTGTCAATATAGCTTTGTATTAATGTGAAGTTTCAACATAATCAGATTAATAATTCATGAAATATGAAATAGGGGTCTAAAATTACCACTTCCGGTAAAACCGGAAGTGAAGGTCACGTGACTTTGACATATCTATTTTCATCTATAACACTTCCCTGTCTGTATACCTACCAAATTTAAGATCAATCGGTCAAATTGTTCTATAGTTATAAGGCTGTAAAAATTGAATCTATAAATAGATGTCACGTGACCCCCTGATGACATCATGATGACGAAAAGTTTCGGTGTACATCTTCAGATGATGGTTAATGACTATGCTGAGTTTAAAGTTGATCGGATTAAAAGAATTCCCATAGTGACTTGTAGAATAAAAACGTGTACAAAACCTATGGGGAAAAAGTGGAAAAAGAAAAAGAAAAACTAGAAATTGTGGTTGTGAGCAACCACAGAGCTTTCCCAATATTGATTGTCTGTTGGACCCATAGGCATATAAAACCTAGACACGACATTAACTGCTTTTACGTTGTAATTCTGTGAGCAAAACGGGCTGCGTCAAACGGCCTGTCGCTAGAGGGCGCTCAAAGATTGCATGACGTCATCGGTAGATGATTTGAAGAATACTCTCAGCCGAGAGACTAACACCGTTGAAAGCAAGCTCATACCTATTACCACTTTCAAATAATAAGCCACTTCCGGTTTTGGCCTTTTTCGACCGGAAGCAAGGGTCACGTGATTTAGCGCACACTGAATGAAATAAAGACCTCAACCTACTCTACCACTTGCCGGCAACAAAATGCTGCGGATGCGTACGGTTGATTTCTTATGTGTCACAATTTAATTGCCCATAAATAAACACCGGATGACGTCATCATGACGTCATCATTACACAATGTTGTTTGAATTAGGGTCTTTGCTTGGACAAAGATTGGTGTAAATGAATTACTGGCAAAGAGTAAAAAATGCCCTTCGAAAAGGGGAAAAAAAAATTCACGAAAACAAGAGCTGTTCGCAATTGAAATTGGGAACAGCTAACTAGAGGTTGTGGTTGTGAACAACCACAGAGCTGTTTCCAGTTTTGATTCTGTATTGGACCGTAAACAAAATGATAATGATGAGATTAAAAAAATGAAATTAATAAAATTGACATAAACATTTTCATTTATAACACTTCCCTCTCTATAAACCTACTAAGTTTGAGATCAATCAGTCAAATAGTTTTATAGTTATAAGTTTACATGTATGAAGATTGCCTCATTTAATATTCATGACGTCAAAACCTGAAAACAATAAACTGCCCATCAAAAGTAGTGCATAATATTTAGCCTTTAATGTTGCTTAATGCTATTATAAGGTGTCAACCCCATGAATTTTATAATTCATTAGATATGTTAGATAGGGTCTAAATTAACACTTCCGGTAACACCGGAAGTAGGTGTCACATGACCTTGACATACACATTTTCATTTATAACACTTCCCTGTCTATATATTTACCAAGTTTGAGATCAATCGGTCAAATAGTTTTAAAGTTAAAGAATTATAAAGATTGCCTCATTAAATATTCATGAAGTCATAAAATGAAAACATTAAATTGCCCATTAATAATAATGCAACATACATGTATTTATCCTTTAATGTTGCTTAATACTAATATAACGTGTCAACCCAATCAAATATATATTCATTAGATATGCTTATTAGGATCTAAAAATAACACTTTCGGTAACACCGGAAGTACATGTAGGGGTCACATGACCTTGACATACAAATTTTCATCTAGAACACTTCCCTGTCTGTATACCTACCGGGTTTGAGATCAATTGGTCAAATAGTTCTATAGTTATAAGACTGTAAAGGTTGCCTCATTAAATATTCATGACATCATAACATGATAATAATAAAGTGCACAGTAATAATAATGCAATATAATTATCTGTCAATATAGCTTTGTATTATTGTGAAGTTTCAACCCAATCAGATTTATAATTCATGAGATATGATAAAGGGGTCTAAAATTACCATTTCTGGTCAAACTGGAAGTGAAGGTCACGTGACCATAACATATCAAATTTCATCTACCGGTATTACACTTCCCTGACTATATACATACCGAGTTTGAGACCAATCGGTCCAATAGTTCAATACATGTAGTTATAAGACTGTAAAAAATGAACATTCAAATCGATATGTCACGTGACCTACATGTACGATGATTTCACGATGACACGATGATGCAAGAATTGCGAAAAAGCCAATAAAAGGAAAAAAAACTTAAACGAAAACAATAGCTGTTCCCAATTGAAATCAGGAACAGATAAAAAACACACCAAAAACAAGAGCTGTTTCGGTGTGTACACCAAAACAGCTAAAAATCAAGGAACAGGTACATACCTGTAATAAAATGGCGGAACAACAACAAGGTTGAATACACTGTTCACTTATACACTTCTGATAAGTGACCAATATGGTTGCAGACCAGTATAAATACTGCCATGGACCCCAATGATAAATGCCCCTACTACAGAAATTCAGGAAAATTCAGGAAAAATACTCACAACTCCAAGGTGTTCGAGACACACATCAAATTAAAGCCAATTTCATCATCTTTCATTTTCGTTTCAATTTGGGGGGGGGGGGGGGGTTAACCGATGACTTTTAGGAGAAATTTCCATCCGGAGATGATCATCCCTTAAAATAGTCCTGAAGTCCATCGCCATTTTGAAAAACGATGCCTACACTCCATTGCAAAATAAAGCGTTTTTAGGGCCCCAAGTCCTGCGCGCGGCTTCCACCCATATTGTTTACAAACCCATAGCCAAAAGTTCATAGCCCACAATATGTTCAAATACCGAGGAGTTTGAGGGCATGCAAATCGTGATTTGGCCGGCGTAGGCAATTTTGGACCGATTTACTTGCCTGACCTTTAGAGAAGCGACGTTTTGAAAAAAAAAATCCAAAAGCATGAGGAAGGATGTATGACTCGTATTTCATCAAAAAAATTGGGAGAAAAAATTATCTGAGTTCGATATCTCTGGCCTGAAAACAAACCTTCTTTTTGCGGTTGACATGCTGTAGGGCGCCCCCAACGTGAGTTAATTGAGTTCCAGTTCCTTCCAACCCCCAAATCCCCCCCCCCCACTTTTGGGCTCAAAATTGCTTTATTCGGATGACAGTATATCGGTACCTTCCGATTTGGGAGGAAATTGTTGCGGAACTGCCATTGATGACCCCTATTTGAAACGCTGCACCCCCAAGGTCACGCCTCTATAAAAAAAAACACTACACTGTCGTGGCATATAAAGCGCTTGCGTCCGCCATTTTAGCAAGGAACCATAAAGGTTGCAGACCAGTAAATAAACTGCCATAGACCCCAATGATAAATGCCCGCACTTAAGAAATTCAGGAGAAATACTCACAACTAATCAAGGTGTTCGAGACACACATCAAATTAAAGCTTATTTCATCATCTTTCATTTTCTTTTCAATTTTTGGGGGATTAACTAATTATTTCAGGAGAAATTCCCATCCGAAGATGATCATCCCTTAAAATAGTCCTGAAGCCCATCACCATTTTGAAAAATGATGTCTACACTCCATTGCAAAATAGAGTGCTTTTAGGGCCCCAATTTCATCAAATTGCACAGAACTAAAAGCTCACAGTCCTGTGCACGGCTTCCACTCATATTTTTTTTTTTAAATTTTTTAAGTTCATGGCCCCCAATATGCTCAATACCGAAGAATTTGAGGGCATGTACATCGTGATTTGGCCGACGCAGGCAATTTTGGACCTATTTACTGGCCTGCAACCATATAGCCACCACAGCTAGCCCTCTGTCCATTTTGACTGTACCAGGGATGTTTCTGCAGGTATTAAACACTATACATGGACTATGAGACCGCATTATTACATGTTTAGAGGGTGTCCAAAATTTCATGGTCCCTTCAATACAAGTAGGCAGTATTCATTAATATAACAGTTGATGGCAATACCACTACATAAAATTAATGTATTTAAATATGACTTGGTACGTAGTTCTATTAGAATTTAAAAAGCAAAAAAACCATACATGTCAAAAACAAAACAAAACATTGATCGCTTGTAAGGGCGCTGGTGCTTGCTTAGGCCGTATCGAATCACTTGGCTACGGCCGGGAATAACGCGCACCCATGGCTGCCACTTGCTAGCGGCTGCAACCACTTCCCGTGGACTCGTGTGTTATATCCGACCGTAGGCCAAGTGTTTCCGATCCGACCTTATTCTCTTCCAAAACATTTGGGGTTCCGAAGCGGCAAAGCATGTTGATACAGTACTGTCAAGAGCAAAGAAGGAATATTTAGTTTGCACTTGCCGTTGCAGCTTGGTCAAAGGTTAAACTACATCTATCAAATAAGAGCTGAGGGCAGAAATGATGTCACACTGCCATTGGGGGAAAAAAACGAGCGAAAAAATCCCAAACACTGTCGCTAACGGCACCTACAACTAGTCAACTGTATTTATATTTAAGAAAGTTACGATGATTTTTCCTCAGTTCAGGCCAATGATAATCATTACAACTCAGCTTAGTAGTAAAGGCTTTCGTCTCTCGACATCATCTCGCGAAGCTGCAAGAGATAATAGACAAAATAACGGATTTTAAGATAAAAAGAGTCTGCCAACTCTGCTAAGATAAATAGTCAGTGCACATACGTTTATATCGGTACCTGTCACTAGAGTTCTTGAATGTGGAACACACTTTGCACACACACACACCCATACCCGTTATTTAAGGTGTAAATCGAGGATTTTCTATTGTTCCTCTTCCCTTTTCCTTTGCTTATACACTAACTTTTTTGCAACATTGGTTTTGTACACGTTTTCTAATCGAGGTCGTCCTCGATTTGGTCCTGTCCTTAATTCATCGACGATGTTGCACGTGTGTGTCCTCGATTTACACCATTAACAAATCCATCCGCATGCATTGCTGAGGGAAACTTCCGCCATTCAATGCCATGTCGACGCCATTTGGGGGGGGGGGGGTGAAGGGGTTGACTTTATGTTGCACAAAAAAATATGTTAACATTCGTGCATACGCGCACTTGATTCCACTGTTGGCACCTTTTGGTGTCAAGTATATTTTTTTTAGTAGGTATGTGCCGTGGGGATCTTCAATACCCCTTTTTAGGAGTATACACTTCTTTGCTGCTTATATTTGCTGAAGGGATGTCATGACTGTGTTGGCATTTGGATTCATTCAGTTAAAAAAAATCAGGGTTGGAACAGTGTGTGATCCAACGGCTCAAATTGGTCATCAAAATGTATAAGGGAAATATCCTGGCCTCATCCTCGAGGTATTACCATCCTTGAGGCCACTATTTTCATATCTTTTAACGTTCATCTTACTAAAAATATGAAACTGGATCTCTCCCAATTAATTATGGGGATGACTTACCGGAATGTCCGCCTCCTCCGACCGGGCGACGTAAGGGATGATGAATTCCGACCGAGACGGTCTGAAGCCTTTGTTCTGTAATAACACGCATATTTAATGAGACACAAACAATTTCGATGCTTCAGCATACACAATTTACAAAACAAACAAAAAACACTACCCCTAAAAAAACACAAACAAATTTAAAATAACAAAAACAACTAGACACGTGCTTGCACGCACACAGGGCTGTTTCGGGGTTCGTTTTTCTCGTATGCATATTAACTCCTCATACAGGGTGGTCCCCCCAAAACGGAACCGCATACCACCACTACCTTGACTCAAACCACCTGTAGCCTACCAATCGATGAACAATTATGATACCAATTATCCCGATTCGGTCCAGTAGTTTTTGCTGCAGAGCCTATTTTCTGAATCACACTTTCATGTGGGTATTATTACATAACAATCCTTCTATCAATTGCAATGTAATTGTAAATAGTGTGTGCTAACTATAAAGGCAATCAGATTTAATAAGGTGCCAAAAAGTCCTGGACAGAAGAAAAATGTGAACAAAAACTGTGGACAGAAGTCTGAAAAAGAAACAAAAGTAAGAAATCTAAACGAAAATAAAAGCTGTTTCGGAAAGTAAACACTCCAAAACAACAGCATTGCACTATAGTTTATGTTACTACTCTCTGCATTGGTTGTATCAAAGCTATAACTACAATAAATAGATCTTACAGAAACTTATTCAATCCATCTTCAAGAGGCATTCAAGCTATCGAGCCAATGTCCGCTTGTGAGGTATGCTTGGTAGTTCCTGGCTAACGTTGCCGAGGTTCCCATTAGTTGATAGCGACCTCTACCTGCACGGCAGCGTTATTACGTTTTGCAGGGAATGGATGTATTACCGAAATGTCATCCAGTCTAGGACAAAGAGTAGTTGTATCAAATGACCCAACAAGAGTGAAGAAAAGAAGAACAGCTATAGGCACTCACCAGGTAAATCCTAGGGTGTGGGGCATCGTACATTGCCATGCGCCGCTCAGATGGGCGCATGGTGGCGCTCTGTTGCATATTCCCCCTGGCCAGCATTGCTCTTTTCATCATCGTCAGACACACAATCATAGCGGTAGGGACAATAATAATGAGACCCGTAATGCCCAAAATCATGGCCACAATGACTGCAGTGGAGAGGCTGGCATCTGTGAACCAAACACAGTGCATTATTAGAGGTTGCGTGACTCCATATTGGAAGAGTAACCTCTGGCCGAGATAATTACCATGAAAGTTTACCGCTAATTTTCGAATATAGATGTAATATAAATTGAGTTTAAAAAAGAAGTTGCCAATCTTTGTGGCTTTGGTCAGGAAAAAGTTCATATAGTCATGTAACCCTCAAAATTCGGCTCTTTGTTTTAATGGACACCATTGAACACATGGCGGCGTTATTTATTACGAAACATTTTGTCGAAATTGAAATGATAAAGGTGTTTTAAGCTGTTTCAAGTAACAAGGCGTCTGTTAATTGGTTACCCGTACCGTTCACTGTCTCACATCTGTTCCCACTATAACCTGCAGGACACCTGAAAGATGAAATCGTCATTATAAGTTATAAACAATGTCTTCGCAGATGCCATACTAGGCCTATTGAGTCCATACGCTGGACCCTTCTGCGTGAAAATTTTAGAGAAAAAAAACACACAAATAAGGATACAAAACGTACCAATCAGAATACGAGGGTACAAACAATACGAAACATTCTCATTATAGTTTATACTTCCTAAAATCCAAAGGGATTTTCCATTCTAGTAAGAAAATACTCACCTCTGTTTACCTACATTTGCATATCAGCGCGCATGCGCACAAACATTCGCTGAAAAGACTGCATGCCCCACGCCCACAAAGGACCCTGTAACGTAATAGCTCGTCCTATTTTTTTTTTTTTTTTTTTTTTTTAAAGGGAGGGATGGTAAACAGAGGTGAGTATTTTCTTACTAGAATGGAAAATCCCTTTGGATTTTAGGAATTCCATTACAGAAAATACCTCACCTCTGTTTACCTACATTTGCAGAGTAGCACCGAAAGTCTCAAGGGGGGGGGACATGCAGTGGTACTTGAAAGTCTAGACTAGGCCTACATGCAATTCTAAATAACATGCAAAGGTTGTCTAGACCTACCCGGGAGCTGGCTATCTATTTAAAAGGAGCTGTGCGGGCTGAGCGGGCTGCTGATCGTGCTGTTTCTTGGAGGACTTTCTTGCCCATGTGTCCCTCCGATTGCACGACATCCTTCAGGTAGCATGATGTGAAAGTCGAAGGATTTTTCCAGCAGGCCGCTTTCATAATCTGTGAAAGAGGAACTCCAAGCAGATGGGCCCATGAAGTCGACATGCTGCGTGTCTCGTGGGCTCCTGATTTCGATCCTCGATGGTCGGAATGGCATTGTATGGCCACCGAAATCCATCGAGCGATCGTGGTCACAGAGGCTTTGTGATGAGGCTGGATGGTCGTAATAAACAGTTGCTTGATGTCTCCTCTGAGGGGCTTGGTGCGAGCAATGTAGTACTTGAGCGCTCGCACGGGGCACCACCATTTATCCTCCGCTACTGAAGAGAACGATGTCAAACCTGGTACAAATATGTCGGGTGGTGAGAAACCCATTGATTGATTCTTGGTGAGAAAACCTACCCTTGGAATTAGTCGTACACCGCCAGGTTCCCATCGAATATGGCCTGGTTCCACTGACAGAGCATGGAGTTCGCTTCTGCGGCGAGCTGTAGCTGCAGCCAGTAAAATATGGTTTTAACTGTAAGATGGTGAAGGGACGAACTACCTGCTGGTTCAAACGGAGGTTTGGAGAGAGATAACAGGACGGTGCCCAGATCCCATGAAGGTATCAGCTTCCTGGTAGGAGGCCGATCATTAAACATACCACGTATCATGTGAGAAATTGATGTATTGGATGAAGTTGTTGTGCCATCATGGAAACCCTGATGAAGGACACCAATAGCTGATCTGTAGCCCTTAATTGTTGTAATTTGAAGGCCTGAATTAAAAAGGTGAAGAAAGAAATCCCCAATCGAGGTTACAGATGCAGAACGGGGATTGACAGCTCTCTCCTCACACCATTTGGTGAAGTGGAGAAGTCTACTATCATAAGTTCTTCTGGTGGATCTCCGTCTGCTCTTGGTTGCCAAGGACGTAGCTTCCTCCGAAAGTCCCGCTGATCGGAAGGAGACTTTGAGAGCATCCAGGCACAAAGATGGAGAGTGGATGGATCCGGATGCAGAATGTGAGACCCGGGTTGTGACAGGAGGTCTGGCCGGTTGGGAAGTATGAGGGGCGAGTGAACCAGGAGATCCAGAAGGCGAGGAAACCAAGGCTCGAATAGGTCCACATGTGGAGTTCCGAGTATGTTGAAGATGTGTTTGACTACAGGAGGGTGGAGAGACCAATCTGTCGGAGGATATTCTTCTTCCCGGCCAGATGGGTGACCTGAAGAGATATTTGGCGAGGAATTCACCCGCTGAGTAGCTCCCAAGTGGCTAGGCAGAGAGACGGAGAGTGAGTTCCCCCCTGGCGGTTGATGTAAGACACTACTGTGGAGTTGTCTGACTTGACTAGAACTAATTTGTTGAGGACTTCGGACTCTAGGGAAATTAAAGCCTTGTACACTGCCCGGAGCTCTAGGTGATTGATGTGAAGTAGACTCTCGTCCATCGACCATGTGCCGGCCCGTGATAGATTGTCCAGGTGAGCTTCCCAACCCAGAGTTTAGATGACGCCAAGAGTGGACCCCGTTGGAAGCAGAATGATTGCGTTCTTGTCTATCAGAGAGAAGATTTCCTTCTCCAAAGTCGCCCGGCGTGCAGGATCTGAGGGAACAGGAGTTGGTCGTCTTCGAGGTTGAAGAGGAGGGTTGCTGGCGAATTCCAGACGGTACCCTGTCGAGATAGTTTGAAGAACCCAAATGTCCGAGGTTACGTGAAACCATCTTTGACTGAACTCCCCAAGACGACCACCTACTGGACCCGAAGCTGAAGGGCTGAAAACTGCGTTGTAGTCAAAGGCCCTTGTTACCTCGCGACCCCCGGGACATGAAAGGCCGCGAATATCTGGAAGGCTGTCTCCTGGTGTAGCTGGGGGGAGACGAAGAAGCCTGATGCCCCTGATTCTTGGACTGGTTGGAGCCCTTGTCGGCAGAAAATGGGCGTTGATTGTTCTTGTAGGGCTGTAACATAGTCTCATCGAACCTGTTGTCAAAGAGATCATGCCCAGCCAGGGGAAGGTCTAGCATGCGATCCTTCGCCCCAAGTGAAGGGAGAAACAACTTGTCTACAACAAGGGAACGTCGCAGCAACGAAGTTGAAGCAAAACCCAAACTAAATTCCTTGAGGCAAAAACTCAGACAATCATCCAAAAAATGGAACATTTCGGGTATCTTATATGGCTCACACAAGGAAGGATCTCCATAACATCGAGCAAGGGTATCCGATAACAGGATGGAGAAAGAGGCCACTTTGGCCCCTTGACGCAGATGGCTATCCAAGTAGGCAATTCTTTTGTCAAGTGTTTTCGTCTTAGCATCAAAAGTTTGCTTCTGAGATTGCGGATTCTCACGTCTCAGCAAGTCTTTGGCCTCAGAAGACAAGGAAGGGGTAGAAAAAAATCTATCAGTGTCCGCTTTATTGGTGTTGAACATGCCTGCAAACCTGCTCGGTCCACAAGAGAGAGATTGCTTGTTTTGCACCTGACTAAGGGACTCATTCATAGAGTCAGCACACATTCTATCAATAGGAAAAGTGGGCTGCGAAGGCTTAGATTTATGAGTACCAGAATCTCTGCGATATGAAGGTCGAGTAGATTCGCCTGGGGAAGGGGGTGGAAACTGAAGGATCTTACCCACTTCCGTCATCGTAAGATTAGCCCGTTGGACATTGGAGAGACTATCTTCACCCACTGTCTGGCCCGAGGAAAAAGAAGACCTTGAAGGAGATCTAGAATGTGAGTGTCGGCTTCGATGACCAGAATCCGACCGTGAGTAATCACGATCATGACGAGAAGAACGATGTCGGCGCCGATGTCGATCGTCGGAGTCCGAGCGGGACCGCGCACGAGACCGGGAACGGCGCCGTGGATCGCGGCGTTCTCTCCCCGCCCGGCTGGTGTGTTCACCGAAGCGTTGCGGAGAACGGAGCTTTGTCCTGTGAAAGGTATGCCATGATCTTCCGGAGAATGTGAAGAATTACCCTGATAAGGTGTGTAATGGTGTGAAAATCCCATCGGAAAAGTCTGGGGATAAACCCGCGGGTCGTAGGCTGGAACACTGAGTGGATACGGAGTGCGAGTATTGTGGTCGAAGTGACGAGGATCGTTCGGGAAAAAGGACCACGTGTGAGGTTCCGAGTGATGAAGAAAATCTCGCCGAGATTCGCTTGTAAAACTAGGTTGAGAATACGAACCCGTAGTATGGCTGACTGAAGATGATGGTGGTGGTGGTGGTGCCCCAAGCCTCTGTGACCCGGCGGGGCTGGTCGGATTACCGAGGGACCTTTGGGTTTCGAACGCCAAGCCCCGCCGTCCCGCCTGCACATGCGAGTCGACCTGTTGTTCCGAAGCGTGCATGTGCTCCTGCAGACTGCCGTAAGAATGCGGGATTTGTCGGGGAGTGGCCGTAATTCTCATTGGAGAATTCTTTGACCCTGGAGAAATTCCAACTGCCGAACCCGGGAGATTGGACCCAGTCGTAGCAGAGGAATTATCACGCTTGGATTGAGTAGAGGGTGACTTTCCAGTAGAGACGGTTTTCTTCTTGGTTTTGGCGGAGTCCGCCATTTTGAAATCACAGCGAGAACAGCTAAAAATTGTACGTCTTTACACTACGCGTCGCTGAAAAAACTAGGGCGAGCTATTACGTTACAGGGTCCTTTGTGGGCGTGGGGCATGCAGTGGACAATGAGGGTGTGGCTTGGGCGCTATTCTTTTCAGCAAATGTTTGTGCGCATGCGCGCTGATATGCAAATGTAGGTAAACAGAGGTGAGGTATTTTCTGTAATGGAAATGTATTGAACGTGCTTGCCACCAATGGTATTCTTTATCTGACAAGTCACCAAAAGTTTCCAACCAACTGTCACTGTGGACAGAGGCATTCCTAGGTCTTTGTCATCATTAGTTGTGATTTGACTTGCGATTTGACTTGTGATTATAACTTGTGATTTGACATGTGATTTAATTGGATCACAATTGTGATTTGCCTGGTGATGTGACTAGTGGTAAGACCTGGGTTTGCCTCGTGATGGAGTTAATTACAACCAGTCTTGTGTTTATTTGCCAATGCTCTGAAAAGGCAAACCCACTCAACATTTCCCTACTGCTCAACAACTATTGGACGAAAATTTGAATTTTGAACATCAAAAGATAAAACAAATACTACACTCCAACGTCTTTTTCCCCCCCTCCAAAATAGTACTTTTAATACGCTGTAAGGATCGATACTGTAGGATCGATTAATGGAGGATAATCTACAGTTAATTCATGATCGCGGACTGATTTTGTGTTGTGCCATTCACATTTCTGAAAGCTAAAGAAGAAGTCAACTTAAGTGCAATCAACCAGGTTATACGAACACGCAGGAGCTGAGGTAGCTGGAAGCATTGGGTTGGCATGTTCCTCCATTGTCACAGAACCCGTCCGGGCAAACTTCTGTCGAAATGAAAGAAACAAAAAATCAAGAATTCACAAGTGTTTTCTAAGAAAATGCTTGTATTTTCTCACTGCTCAAATTGACTTTGATGACATGAAATTGCCATCTGGGGGCTTGTTAGTCAATACAGAGGAAAATAAGTGAACTTCGTATGTGGAAATCTTTCCCACTGGAACTTAATTGTAGCAAATATATAGTCCTCTGAAATGTGTTGGAACTGTGAGATAACCCTTTCGGGTAAACGTTTTAGTGCACCTTTTAAACGTTTGAAATGTTCCATGCTTTTCCTGACAACTGAGGGTGCTGTTGCTGTGATATCACTTCAGGAACACCCTTCAGATTAGGATTTTTTTCTCTTCAAATTGTAAACTCAAATCCGAAATCGTTTCGTGTATACAGTTTTCTCATTGATTTGCTGTCATGCTGAAATTTACGACAATGAACCACTGACAGTTGAAAAATAACCAAGGCAAGCCCGTAAATATTCTGATGACTATTATGCTGAAACAGATGTGAAATAGAAGTTTCCGCCCCGAATGATATCACAGTTTTGCCCACGAGTGTGGAAATTCGGATTTGCATAAAAACCAAAAGGGCACCAACCGCCCTTAAAAATGCCAACAAGAAGATATATATTTTTTTAAATGGAACACAAAGGTAAATTTCGAGGATTGCATTAAATAGATGCGCCACTTAAGTCAACGGTCATCATCCTGCATTATCATAAGGCTATCAGTAAACTCACCGATAACCGTTATGCACACATACGGAAAGTTGTTCTTTATAATCGTTCAATCGCAACTTACATTTAAAAGTTTCAAGTCCTTTTACAAGTAATAGAGTTTAATTTGTTGACTTGCTTTTTTCCCCCAAAGGGAGCTTTTTCATTAACGCTGTTCGGTGACGGTTTGTACATGTTTAAAGAATCTAAACAATTACGTACGCTAATTTCTTGGTGGAGTCTGATTAACATTGCAATGCTAATTATTTATGCATCTCATTCAGTCAGTAACGTATATACACACAGTTTCATACCCGATCCATTGTAGGCCTGTAGTATCATCCTAACTATTATAGCAAGTCGTATTTGAACACTATGGCCTAAAACAGCTATACTTATAAGCCTACCACGTACCTTCCAAAAAGGTAGTGGCGCTGGGGTTCAGCTTATATTCTGAATTTAAGAATAAATTATCTGCTGAGATTGCGGCATCAATGGAATTTTCCACCTCCGTTTGGTTGGCCGTGGAGTTCCCGTTGACTGAAATCAATGCTTCCACACCTATGCTACCACTGAAGAAGTACAAGACAATGATGCGGCCGAACTCGGATAGATTGCCGAAGGCAATACTGAACTGCAACAACACAGAAACGAAACATTTAGAGAAAAGACTGATGTCATTCTACTTTCAATTACTATTTAACTTGATGTGATCAACTTGGTAATTATCGGTAATTCGGAGCACATTCCAACTTAGCCGTTAATTCTGACCTTAACAAATTATGAGATGTTGAACCAATAATTAGACCAAATCGAGGCAACAAACGTCCACGGCCATTATCCAATGTGGACTCTTAATTCTTCAGTCTCTTACCAAGTTCTCAAGGCGTCTCTGATGTGAAAGAAACGCAACTGAGGTGGGATCAGTGAGCTCGTTTGTGAATACAGCTGGGCTGTTGCTGATCTCCACAATGACGAAAGTAAAACGAAACATTCTTCCTTCTGTTTGTTAAAAAAATCAGGACTTTGTATGTTTTTTTAGGTTATTATAATTATAAATGCAGTTCAAGTTTTGTAGATTTGGGGTTTAAACACTCCGTTTTTCTGTTTTACACATGGATTGCTTGGCCAATTTTTTTTCTCGAAACAATCAGGGGCGGCTTCATCATACCTCTGCAATGTCTTATGTTTTTGTTTCACGGCCTTAATTAAGTTCGTGTAAAATGACCTAAAATGCCTATGCTGACTGAATAATGTTTGTGACGTCTTCACTTGTCCTGGTAGAGAGGTTTGTGGGCCTTCATTTTCAGTGTTTGTGAAAAACTCGAGGAGGGTTCCAGATCAGAACTGAACACTGAGGATGTATTTTTCGAGAAATCATTATGACATTTGACCCCAAAGGTGCTGAATCTTGCAGTAAAGTGGAAGGCTCATTTTCCAACTTGGCATTGGGCTTCGGGATTTGACTTTGGGGTGTTTGTTCTGATTGTTAGAAAAGAGGGTAGGCCTATTTATCATTTGCCTCGGTAGTAATTTATTTTATACTGGTCTATACCCTTGTGGGCCAAAGTTGTCGGACCACCCTCTCTTGAATTATTTTCAGGGGTTTTGAACGAGAAATCATCATACGTACGCAGGCAGTTATCTGAGTTTCCAGCCTTGAAAAAGCCGGTGGGACAGTCGCATGTGTAACCTTCCAGCTGATTGACACAAGTCAATCCTCGAGATGAACATTCCCCCATGACTTCTGGCAGAGAACATTCATTGTGATCTGGAAGCAAAGCAGAATCAATGGAAGAACATTGCATCGTAAAACAAATTAAGATTCATCAGGGCCTATATTAAATCAGACTGATTCCTTTAAACCATTTCAACCATCTTACATTCTACCTTCTAGCCCGTTCTGCATCACGCTCGATCAGCATCATATGGAGCCACAGTGAACGTGTCATACAGACATTAGTATGTGAAAATCATGTGTCATTAGTATTCGTCAAAACGAGTGGCAGGACTCGATCCGGTCGGCAAGAGCAAACTATCTTACTTGGTTCCACAGTGATAGTGAAGACAGGACATGTTGCTGTCCGGCCTGCCGGATCGGTGGCGGTGTACGTCACGCTGTATTCACCAGGCAAAAGTGACTGGCCGGGTTCAAAGGTCGTAGACAGGGTCACTGTGCCGGAGTTGTCCGAGGCAGTCGGCGGGGTCCAATCTGCAACGGCTGTGTCTGTGGCTAACTCCACCGTTAGAGTGAAACTCGCTGGGCAGTTGGTCAAGCTGGGATTCTCACCATCTGTTATTGGGGAAAACAACAAATGTGACATTATCTTTTAAAAAACAATCACTCCGGAAATCACTACATCATCGCCAATGGTGCCAGCAAAAAGAGCTGCGCGCTTACACCTACCCGAAATGGTAATCGTAAATGCACATTCGGCGACCAATCCTGCGGTATCAGTCACATTGTATGTGACGACAGTTGCACCCAATGGGAAGCTATCTCCTGGCCGGTAGTCTGACTGTACACTGGCTACCGCCACGTTATCTGTGCCTTGTGGTTCTGACCACGAAGCTACTCCACGATCGCTCTGCAGACCTGTGTCACTGGTGACTCCTTGGAAGGGGCAGCCAGTAAATGTAGGAGGCTCATTATCTGTGGTACAAGAACGTTCATAAGACGTGGTAGGTACTCTAGAAGGTAGTCCTAATTATTGATGAAGGAAGTCAAACACATTTTCGTATTGCGACTGACAGCTTGCATGAATAGCTGGTGATTGGTCAGTGTTTGGTAAAACATGGTATTAGATAACATGAACATTGTACATGTATTTAAGAGCGAAACAGAACTCTAATCAAACAGCGAAATCCTTTCATTGTCATGTAATACATATTATTAAGACCGAGGTTTAATGGTTGGTTTTTGCACCTACCATAGACCTGGACAACAAAGCTGCAGTTGACGGCGTTACCACTGCCATCCTCTGCCGTGTACACCACCACGGTATCTCCGACAGGGAACGCATCACCAACATCATAGTTAGAGGTCCGAGTTACGCTGCCCGAGTTGTCTGAAGCTTGAGGTTCATCCCAGAATGCTCTGGCTGTATCCCGAGTGGGGTCCGTCGGGAACCTAGGAAGGTTCACGGGACAGCCGGTAATAACTGGCGGCTGCACGTCTGTGGGAGTGACGGGAGAACAGTAATTTACCAAGTATCAATGAGAAATGTGCAAGTACAAATATTTGGATATTTTGACGTGTACTTTTAGGTGGTACAACTTTTAGGTGGTACATCTTTTTCGTCAGGTGCAAGCCCTATCAGATAATGCGAAGGTGACAGGTGCTCAACATTACATTCATTTTTGCAGATATGTTTCATCAAAAGTTACTACTGCCTTTTGAGTTTCTGTACATAGGCCTAAAGCATAAATGTTCACAAATGTGAGTAGAGGAGCATAATAAACGAGCCTACCATTCACAATGACGTTGAACTGACAAGTAGCCATATTATCAGCAGCATCGTAGGCTGTGTACATAACCAGGTGACTGTCAATGCCAAAGACACTGCCTGGTTCATGAGTTACATCCAATCGAACCACGCCAACGTTGTCGGTCACCCCGGGTCGTGTCCAGTTGACCATGATAGTGAAGTTTACGAAACTCTCCAGTGGTTCATTGAGTGTGATATCAGATGGACAGGTATCGAAGACCGGATCTTCATTGTCTGAGAGCAGATGACATATTTCATATGATGTTAAAAGAATGTTGAACAGAATCGTCTAAAAATCAGCTTACAAAAGCTTGAAAGTTAACATTTTGTTGACAATCATACCAACAAAAATTAGTTATTCGTCTTCTTTGTACACTGTGAGTTTGAGAAAATGGCGTCTGCATGACCTTCCGGATCGGAATATGGCCTGTAATGGAACGAGCTCGAGCCTCTTCTCAAGTATGAGTATTAGTCGTTTCAGGATGAGCCTTTCCTACAATACTTGACACAGGAGTGAATTGATCGAAAGTTCCTTCTGTCAGGTCTTTTATGAGGGAAATCGCAGCGCCCTGCGAGATTGATTTTGTTTAATCACCCACCTGATACCAAGACTGCAAATGAGCAGGTTTCGGTGTTGTCCGAGGGATCAGTGGCGATACACATGACATTCTGCACTCCAACTTGGAAGTTGGTTGCCGAGGCTGGGGTGCATGACACTGTCCACTCCCCACTATTGTCAGCAGCAGTCGTGACAAATGTCACATTAGCGACACTCCGTTGAGGGTCTGTGTCAGTAACAATGGCTGCACTGGGACAAGTAATAGCAGGAGGCTCCATGTCTATATTTGAAGAAGAAAAAAATCAGAGTGTGCATTTAAAGGTGGTAGCAATTCTGTTTAACTAAACTGAAACACAGGATTCTGTGAGACTATAAGAAGTAGCAAGCAGTAGGATAAAATGTGGGACAAAACGATTAGTTTTTACAGAAGCACGTGGGTAACCTCCGCCTGCTCAATGTTTTTCCAATCCTTATTCATTATTCAAAGCAAACACTGTTTTTGTACAACTTAGATTCTTAAAGCCACATCGATAGAAATGAGAATCTTTGGAAATTGAGAATGAAAGACATTGACATTGAAATACATACCTTCAACTGTCACCACAAAAAAGCAGGAACCTTTATTCCCTGACGTGTCGGTCACGTTGTACTCAACGTCTGTGTCACCAATTGGAAATAAGTGCCCAGGCTGGTAGTTGGAGTTATACTCCTGAACTGCAACGAAGTCCATCGGAATGACAGGCGGCCATGACACATTAGCGGTGTTCTGCTGTGGGTCAGTTTGAACTGTGAACGAAGCTGGGCATGGCTCAAAGTAGGGATCCTGGTTGTCTGAAAGACAAGAGGTTTAAGCAAATTCACTGAATTCTGGGAAACAAATTCTTGGTACCTGACCTCAAAAACCTCTGGTAGAAAAATATTACAAAAATGATCTATGATGACTTCTTACCAAGCACAGTAATGTAGAAATCACAATTAATGTCATTGCCGGCTGCATCCACAACAGTGTAGGAGACGTGGTGATTAGAAACACCCAGTGGCTCTGTAGGATCCAGTGACGATGTCGCAGTGAAGACACCTGAATTATCAAATGCATCATCAGGCAGAGACCAGCCACCAGTGCTAACATTGGATTGTGGATCAGTGTAGAGTGTGAAGCCAGTAGGGCAGGTCACATTGGGTCGCTGGTCGTCTGGTCATCAAAAGAAAAATGTTTTCCGTTGAGAGACGTATCATGTCAACATGAGAAGGCAAGCACAAAGCAGGGAGAAGACATTTCAGCAAAACTGCATTTATGATTATTCAAGTCCCATGCAATTATGATAAATAAATGTATATGGCCTTACCAACAACAGTGACATTGAACACGCATGATTCCATGTTGCCACTTTCATCAGTTGCATTCATCGTGATTCTTGTTACTCCAATGTCGAATGCCTCCCCTGGCATATGACTGGCATCGACCGTGACAGTTCCTCCACTGTTATCAGCTACATTTGGTGGAGTCCAGCTGACGACGGCTGTTGGGAGGTTCAAGTCAGTTGGGTAGCTTGCTTGGAGTACAGGAGGGCATTGATCAAAGACTGGCTTGACTACATCTGCAAAACGGCCGTGAGCAAGTTAATAAATAGCAAAACGGCGGAAAATAACAGAAAATTAAAATCAAAACTGAAAAGCGGGAACCACATTTTGGCTGAAGTAATCTTTGGCTGAAGTAGGGATCTTCATTGTCTGAAAGACAAGAAATTTTTGCAAATTCACTGAAGGGAATTCTGAAAAAAAATCTTTATACCTGACCTCTCAAAAACCTCTTGTAGAAAAATATTACAAAAATGATCTATGATGACTTCTTACCAAGCACAGTAATGTACAGGAGGGCATGGGTCAAAGACAGGCTTGACTACATCTGCAAAATGGCCATGAGCAAGTTAATAAGGGAAGGGAACTCCAGTGCTGCCCGGCAAAGTAGGAATACATCCAAAACTTACATATTGACAATTGTACGAAGTTTTCAACGCACTTTGATGACTGTCATGCGATCATTTACACAGGAGCATACTGTGCCCATGTCAAACAGCCAAACTGCCCATTTTTGTTCATATTCCTACATTGCACTGCAACCGAATCTGGGCAAAGTGGGAATATTACCAATGTTTCATTTACACACGTCTTATATGTGTAGTAGATTGATCGAAATTGACACTTTGCTCAGGTTAGTAGTGCAATGTATGAATAGTAATTCCAACACCCCTTAACTATAGCAATTACGTCTAATTGACAGAAATTACCACTTTGCCCAGGTTTCGTAGCAGCGCAATGTACGAATATTACCAAGATGTAATTTCAACTAGCCCTTTTCTATAGCAAATTACATCACTATTGCCCGTAATTCCCACTTTGCCCAGGTTCTGTGGGGCAATGTGGAAATATTACCAGTGGGTACTTTGAACAGCCCTTATCTATAACAATTACATCACAGTTACCCGTAATTCCCACTTTGCCCGGATTCGGTAGTAGGGCAATGTGGGAATATTACTAATGGGTACTTTAAACAGCCCTTATCTATAGCAAATTACATCAAAATTGAACGAAATTTCCACGTTGCCCAGGTTCGGTGTAGCGCAATGTTGGAATCTTAGTAAATTCGAAATTATTGCAAGGGGATGTTGTCCAAATTAATTCACGAATAATATCCAAATAATTTTGTGGGTAAGGTGGTACATGTAACAGAATAAAAGAAAAAAGCCTATGAATATTCAAATACCTCCCTCTACCAGCGAAGGGTTCACACGTTATTTTATGAAGAGTTATTGATGTTAAAATTAAAGACAACATTCCCACTTTGCCGCGCAGTGTTGGAATTCCCACTTTGCCCATAGCAAATTCCAAATTTACCCTGATTCCCACATTGCGGGTGACAGCAATATGATGGAAACACCAAAAAATAAAATCAATCAAGCAGGAATCATATCTGGCTGGAGTAATGATTTGTTTTGACCTGACGAGGACTCGGGCTTCTAACTGTACCTTCATTGTCAATGATGCAGATTTCTGTATCAGCACCAACTTGTCCATCGCTTGGATCTGGATTCACCAAAGACAAGTTGAAACAATGTGTGCCTTGCACGCTGTCATCGTCAATTATTGTGACCGTGAATACTGTGTTATTTGTATCTGTAAAGTCCAGGGTAGTATTCAACGAAACATAATGCTGTCCTGCGATAGCAGTTCCATCAGAACTCACGACATCTATAATGAAACAAGACAAGGCAAGCATATTAATGCAGGTCCTAAAAGCCCCAACATTGGACCTACATTCAATGGATTCAGAATGGCTAAACTATTCACAGAATAGGATGTCAGCAGTAGTAATTTGATGGAAATGAAAACTCCTCCCATGCGTCGGCATTCGCTTGGAGACTTGACTTATATTGCCTACACAAACACATCATGAGAGTACATACAACAAGTCTTGTCAGACTCATGTAGATGCTACATCACAAGTAGTAAGGCCTCATAAAGTTCGTTACAGACCAACGTAGGCTACAAGCTACATACAGTCAGTCAGTTAATAAGTCTGTCATTCAGGTACAAAATGGATTCTGGGCTGGCCCTCTGGGACCTGCACAAATGGATTTTTCATAATGTTGAAAATGTTTAAGCAATAGACTTCCAATTTCAAGAATCACCGGGCAGTGTTAGCCTGTTTTAATTGACCTCCAATATGGACTCCAGAAAATTAAAAAATGACATGACAAGTGAGTCAATCTTAATCTAAGACACATAATGCACCAGGGATAATTATCTAGGTTTCAAGAGCTTGTGGTTATTGTATATATGCTAGTACGTGTATCGGTTATTGCGAAATTGGGTAATATTCTATTTACAATGCAATTTTGGGTGGTGCACGGGAAATTTGTAAAGCACCTGATTGTTTTAAAGTGGTGTTTTTATTAGTATTGTTTAAAAAAGACCCAAATGGAAAACATAACGCGTCTTGTAAGGCTATCCCAAATGGAATCAAATGTCTTGTATTTGGTTTCAGAGATGTATTGCTGTATGTTGTGTATTTTTGTTGAAAAACTGAACTAAGCTATTGATAGTGTTTATAAAAGACAAGAATTACAGTATCAATGACAGATGGTCTTACTAAATAGGTAACATACCAACAAGTGAACTCTCCAAAGCCGAATCTCCAGTGCGTATAACGGTGATATCAACAGGGCCATCTCCTTCATTTGTAGAGTAGGATGCCTGCTCAAAATTGTATGCCCAGACTGAAAAATACCAAAACAAAAATACACTCAACCAAAACAGAACGTCCCCCTATTTATCATATTTAATATTCCAAATGCCACCCATTCATGACTTAAAGTCTAAATAGTTCAAAACAAGTGTATTTTAAGTATTATTCTACAGCATGTCATGAATTCAGACCCTAAGGACAATTTTGTTATGACCTCTGATCTCCATTTCCCTTTTTTGAAGGGTAGACAGGGGTGCAACAGAATACAAAAGGTACATTGGACAAGAATCTCACTCTTACAGTGACCAGTGGGCTCGGTAAAAAGGCTAAAAATGTGGTGACTCAAGTCCATCTAGATACCACAGAGTGTAATAAGTAGAGAAGAGTGACTATTGTCAGACATTTGTACATATTACATTGTAAATAAAGTCCAACAGTCTTCTATCCCAGTCGCAACATGTGGCATCTGCCAACTAAAAAAGGGAAATGGAGGTCAGATGTCACCCCAATTTTTTTTGTGGGATTTGAATTCATTACATGACTGTATAATAATAGGTGCAATACCTTTCTTTTGCAATATTGAGGCTTGGGTCACAAAAAAGGCGTTTTGACAAATAAATATAAATGAATAGCGAAAAATAAGGTATAAAGTTCATTGACCTATTAAAGGGTACCAAAGGTCAGATTATGATGTCCCCATATTTGAAAATGCTTTTCATGTCACAAACAGCCAACTTTTAGACATGGGTCCTGAAATAGTTGGGTTTTGAATAATGAATCTTATAAATATCTATAAATAGGGCATACAAAGTTCATTGACCTGTTACCAGAGGTCATATATGAAATGCCCTTCATATGAAAATGCTTTTCATAGCATGAACACCTCACTTTTAGAATTGGGTCTTTAACAAGTTGGGGTTTAAAGTGCTAATCTTATAAATTACTATAAAATCCATTTTTAAGATATCTCGAATTCCATTTAAGGATATCGTAAAGTCCATTTCGAGATATTTCGAAAACTCATTTCAAGATTTCGCGAAATCCATTAAAGATAGCTCAAAATCCATTTCAAGATATCTGGAGATTCATTTCCAGATATCTCGAAATCCATTCCAAGATATCGCGAAATTCATTTCAAGATATCTCGAAATCCATTGGTTGGGATAAATGTCACTAATGCGTTGTATGGTAAGCATGTGAAAATGAAAGCGTCCTTGTTTTGAAGAGCACAGCCTTGTTATTGCTCCAATAAAGAGACTTGGAGGGTATTCAAACAGTATTTTGGTCCTCGATCGGAACGTCATCACTGGCACCAGAATAGTTCAAACGCCATTATCGTCCAAACCCACTAAACTTTGTTTTCGTTTCACATGGGCTTGACTTCCCTGAATCAGAACATTTACTTCAAAATTTATCACAGTCCCCTATCCCAAAACATAAGTCGTGAGATATAGCTGATAGAATATGAGGGCACTATTTATTCATGGTCTCCCGGCGAGACTGAAGGATTCACACCATTTGGCGTGGGAAAAAAGAGTAAACACAAAAGAGTTAACCCGATTAATAGTGCCCTCCTATTGTGTCATCTCTTTAAAAAAAAAATCCTTCGAATCTCCTGAAACAAAAACCAGAGATATAGCCGAGGGATAAGAAAAAAATCCTTTACGAGTTAGATGTAATATCTCACCCTCATTGTCAACGATGCAAATTTCAGTTGGTGGCCCAGTGTAGCCAGTGTTCTCCAGTTTCAGTGTGAAACACTCGGTGTCCTCAGCGGACTCGTCATCATGGATTGTCACGTAAACGCTAACTAGGTTTTTCGTCAAAGTGAAATTCAACGTTTGTAAAACCGGCGAATAATCATCTCCTGCTATTGCTGTTCCATCAACTGAGCTGACATCTGTCAACAAAATGGAGGGGAAAAAACTTTTTTTCACTATAAATACAGTTAGTTTATAGATTACACTAGAAAACAGTCAAACTTGCACCTAGCTGACAACAGATAGGATCAGCTATGTGCAAGTTCAAAACAGCTTCTCAGTCAGATGTGTTTTCAAAGTGTAGGGAAGCATTTCTTTTCTTAACAGTATAAACATGATTTTTGAGAAAATGACATTCTGAGAAAATGACATTTTCGCGTTGTCCAGTACTCCAATGTCTAATATTGCAACGCGGTGGTAGACTTGATGTCAATTCGGTAATTAGTGTTTCGACAAAGCAGTCAGCATTGAGGGCAGTCCTACTTCTCCTCCCTCTTCTTGTGTTCTGCAAGTCCTTCGGTGACAGGGGAGTGGCGAAGCAACATATGTGGTGACCACTGGGAGTTGTAGTCACGAACCTGCATCCTGGGACCATTTGTGGTTCTCTGTACCCGGCGCAGAATATCAGCCAGTCAGCATCTAGTCGACTAAGCAGTCGTCTTCAGAACAACGCTGCTCACCTTTTGATGGGAAGAGGCCCAGAAAGCATGGCTTTGGGCAGTACCCAAAGCCATGCTTGACAAGCTGGATGCGTGCCACCGCAGAAACCTCCGTATCATCACAGGTCACTGCTGGCCAAAGAGCCTTATCAGCAACCAGGCACTATACGAACTGTGAAATGAAGAACCCCTCTCATCAAAGGTCACAAAGCAAAGATGGTCAATGTTAGGCCATGTCCTACGTATGGACCCTGACACACCCGCTCAGAGGGCCTTTGACTTTGCCGTTACTGGCTCTCAAGCCTACAAACCCAGACGAGGACGGTATTGCATAAATCTACCGGGCACAATACGTGCTGACCTCAAACGGGCTAGACTCGGACCCCTCCGCACCGCGAAACATCCATTGCCTACAGTTACTCGCCCACGACAAGACCAGGTGGCCAAAGACCAATGTGAAGGACTGATTGCGGCTGCAGGATGTAAAATTAGTCTACCGCAGCTGCAGTACACAGTTTAATATATAGGCCCAGAAAAGGTGGACTTAACACCGTCTGCCCCATAAACACCTGGCCAGTTTGCCGCGGCTGGCAGATCATCCATTTATGCGGTCGAAACCAAAACAGAAAGAAACTCCTTATTAGAACATGGAAGGCCCGTATTCCTATGGTCAGGGACAATTCAACGAGGCCCCGTTGGAAGCAGCCCTAGTCTCCAAACAACTTTTACATCACAGCACTGACATTGCAGCCCTAAGCGACACCAGTCTTGCAGAGTAGGGATCTTGCACTGAGTTGCCTGTCAGCCACAAGCGACATGCGATTGTTATCCGTGCATTCGCCCCACATTGACTCGCACGGAGGAGACCACCGAGCAGTTTTATGCCTATCACAAGTTAATCCGGGGCTCAGTCCCAGTCAGCGACAGGCTCAAATTATTGGTAGACTTCAATGCTTGAGTTTGCTGTGACTAAAGTCAATGGGATGGGTTTACTTCGGCAAGATGAACAGGTACGGCCTTTTGCTCCTGAGCAATGTGGAGAACATAATCTCATCACGAACACAGTGCTTAAAGTTTTGCTGCTACAAACAATACGAAGCAGTTCTTCAACTCAATCTAATCAGTCATTGGCCTTTAAAGTCAGGCTCCGTTCGCTTGCTTTCTTTAGAGGGAGCTACGCTGATCAAGGACAAGATTTGCATCAGCAACAGATCCCTCAGAAGCCAAAGCATGAAGAACTTGATGATCCTCCATCCCTGGAAGAAACAAGAAAAGCCACCAAACAGATGAACTGTGACTAGTAGGCGCCTGGCAAGATGGAATTCCTGCAGAAATGTACAAGAGACTTTATGTTAATAGCGAAGAATCACTGGAGGCACTTTACGCTTTCCTGATCAGTATCTAGGAAGAGAAAGAAATGCCACCTGACCTCTGTGACGCCACAATAGTTGCACTGTACAAGACCAAAGGTAGAGCAGACTGTTGGAATTGCAGGGGTATCTCCCTCATGTCCATTGTTGGCAAAATCATGGCCCGCATCTTCCTGAAAGCCTGATCCCAACAGTATCTGATGAGAATCTCTTGGAGTCACAATGAGGTTTTGCCCTGACCGCAGTACTGTCGACATGATCTTCACAGTGAGGCAAGTGCAAGAGAAGTGCCTTCAGTAGAATGTGAACCCGTACTCCGTCTTAATTGACCTGACGAAAGCATTTGACTCTGTCAACAGGGATGAATTGTGGAGTTTCTTCAGAAAACTTGCATACCCATCGAAGTTCATCAATACCATCAGCTCTTTACCGATGACAAGTACTATCAGGTGGTGAACCGACTTGAAGTAGGGCTGTGTACTTGCTCCGGTGCTATGCTCTTTAATCCATTCTTTAACCAATTGATGTCGCATGATGTGAGATATAACGGAACATTGGGTCTACCTAAGGTACCGGCCGGACAGCTCATCGTTTGACCTCCGACGCATTACAGCAAAGACCAAAAAACTGCGGAGACTCATCACAGAGACGTTGTTAGCTGACGACTGTGCCCTTATGGCCCACCCAGAACCACCTACAGACAATCGTCGACAGATTTGCAGAAGCATCAAAGTTATTCGGCCTGACAATCAGCCTTGGAGATTAGGAAGACCTCCTGCAGCCTGCACCAAACAGCACTCCTCCACAGCCATGTATTAATAATACCATCAACGGCATTCACCTGCAGAAAGTGGATAGCTTCAAGTACCTAGGCAGCACCATCTCAAACGACGGGTCTCTCGACAACAGAATCAAGAGGATCCAAAAAAACCTGCAGCCAGGCACTTGAAGGCTCCGTGTCAGGTTCTGCAGCACAACTTTTATCCGCCTCTCCACCAAAGTACAATGCTGTTGTCCTTTCCTCCCTTACACGACTGTGAAACCTGGACTCTGTTCCTTAGGCGTCTCAATCAGATAGAACAGTTTCATACCAACTCCCTACAGTCCACCATGCAGATACACTGGCAGGATCGCCTCACCAACCTGTAGTCGTGGACAATGTCAGCTCTATAAAAGCACGGAAACCAAGATCTGCCAGGCCCAGCTTCGATGGACTGATGGCCACGTTATCCGCATGGGTGAGTCTGGGATTCCACGGCAGCAGTTCTAAAGAGAGATGGGATAGGCAGTCGCAGCCAGGGTCAACTTTGGAAGAGATATAAGGACGACCTCAAGTCAAACCTTAAGTGGGCAGACTGCTACCCTCGACACCTTGGACTGGTGGCTGAGACCTGACCAGCTGGTGTGCATTGACCAGGAAAGCATCAACAACCACGAGCCCTAGCCAGCGCCTCACTGATGCACGTGACCGGCGACACAGAACAGCGCCTGCCCATGTCCTGATCGCTTCTGCGCATCAAACTCCGACCTCCAGAGCCACAATGCCCACCCATCGTCTTCCTCGGTTCCCGAGAGACAACTATCAAATCAAAAATGCACGTGATTACAAGACGCTCACAAGGCCCCCTTAATTCAGTGGAATCACCATTTCAATCTATTGTACAAAGCAACTGTCCTGTGACGGATTATTTGAACAATAGCTAGCACAATGCTTTCGCCATTGGAGGGGGCCCTTGTTAGCGTGCCCGGATTGGTCTAAATAAAAGTTCAATGTAACAGAGTATGCTACTCACCCACTGCAGAATTGGCAGAGTTGTGGGGTCCAGTCCGCGTCACATGGATCTCAATAGATCCACCATCTTCAGCAACGTTGTGGGGTCCCATTCCCATTTGAAAAGAATACGTGTCCTCATCTGGAAACAAAATGTAATTAAAGGAACCATGAAATATGGTGTTCCGTATGTGCCACATTATTTGGCGTGTCCATTTTTTTTACCTTTTACAAAAAAAAAAAAATTGGACATCGCATTTTTTTTTTTTTTGGTGGTGCATTTTGTTTGGCGTCGCAATTTTTGGTCGGCGTCACATGTGTGCCCACGTGCCTGTCACATGATGTCCCCGTGATGTCTTAAAATATTTTCAATGGTGCATGGCCCTGAAGGGACATCAGATTTCTGCGCAGATGATGGCAGATTGTTAAAAATGCCGTGATTTTTTGTTATCATTTTCAATGATGGATTCATGCGCCGTGCTATATAGCTACAATGGCCATAAATGTACAATTTGCCATCATTTTGTCGGTACCATGCTTAATCATTTTCAACGGATAAAAAAAATTAAGGGACAAAACCCTAACAAAACCACACAGTGAAAGTTGATTTGACTTTTTTGGCATAGATGTTTTGAGCCGCTAATTTATTTCTCCTCGGTCAATGTTTAATTGTATTAAATGTCCGTACATACGTTAACGTAAATACGTTAAGCTACAACATAACAATAATTACCTTTCTATTTGCTATAGTGGTGTGGCATAGGGACAGAATTGTACATTTTGTGATAAAAACATGAAACTTCGCATGTTGGTTCTTCATGCCATGACAAAATTTTTCAGATATGGAGGCATTTCATATCTGACCCCTGGTGACCTTTGAGGGGTCAATGACCTTTGAATACTCTATTTTTACCTATTGTTCTTGAAAATATTACTTTCCTATGACCTAAGTCTTTGTAGAGTCTTCATACAATGTAAATAACGACCAAATGCGAAAATAATTCAAAAATTTATCATCGCTGATCTTCCAGAGGTATATGACCTTTGTATTAACTGCACTAACTCTATTTATAGTCATTTGTACGATATACCCTTTAAACCCAATTTTTTTCAACCCCAAGCTATAATGTTAAGTGGCACATGCTATGAAATGGATTTCAGATATAGGGAATCTCATATCTGACCTCTGATGACCTTCAATGGGTCAATGAACTTTGCGTATCCTATTTATAGATATTAAGAGGATTTACTATTCAAAACACCACTTTTTTATTACCCATACCTAAATTTTCGGTATTCTTGCCATGATATGAATTTTCAGATATGTAGACATTTCATATTTGACCTCTGATGATCTGTGCGAGGTCAATGAACTTTGTGTACTCTGATTGCTGTTATTTATCATGTTTAATCTTCCAAATGCCATTTTTCATGACTGAAGTCTTATTATAGCAAAAGGAGTGTATTTTAATAATTATTCTACAACGTGTCATGAAGTCAGACCCCAAAGATATTTTTTGCATGCCCTCCAATCTCAATTTTCCTATTTATAAGGGCAGACGCAAACGTGAAAGAATATAGGGGGCCTAAGCGACACATCGGACAAGCATCACTCTCTTACAGTGACCATTGGTCTTGGTAAAAAAAAAGGTTAAAAACGTGGCTATATCCAAGTCCAAGTGGATACAGCAGGGTGTAATAAGTACACAATAGGTAACCCTAACTCCCTGGGGGTGTGCAAAATCATATTGAAATTGGACTGTTAGGGCTATTATTGCTTTACATATGTACATTTTCCATTACAAAACCATCATATTGCGTCTGCCAATAAAATAAGGAGAAACGAGGTCAGAGGTCACCTCAAAATTGTTTGTGGGGTCTGAATATACAACATGGCTGTAAACTATTAGGTGCAATGCCGTTCTTTGCACTATTGGCGCTTGGGTCACACAAAAAAACGGCGTTTTGGCGAATAAATATGATAAATAACGGCAACTAAGATATACAAAGTTCATTGACCTCTCCAAGGGTATCTATACGTCAAATATGATGTCCCTGCATCTGAAAATTCTTTTCATGGTACCAAGAGTCAAGCTTTCGACTTGGGTCATGAAAAAAGCGGCATTTACAATTACGAAAATTGTATTAATATCCATTTGTAGGCTATTGTTTTACAAAGGTCATGACCTCTCGTAAGGTGACCAGAGGTTGAATATAAAATGACCTATATATGAACATTCTCTTTACAGCATGAACACCTTTTATTTAGACATGAATTGTGAAAAAAAAGATGCGGTTTAAAGAATAAATCTTACAAATAGCTATAAACAGGTTTACAAAGGTCACTGACCTCCCAAAGGTCACTAGAGGTCAGATATGAATTTTTCCACTTCTGATCGTTATTTTCATTGTATGAAGACCTATGACATAGACTTGAGTCATTGGAAAGTGAACTTTTGAAGAACACAAGTTATGAATAGTGTATACAAAGTTCATTGACCTCTAAAGGTCACCAGAGGTCAAATATAAAATGCCTCCATATCTGAAAAATTGTGTCATGACATGACGAACCAACATGCGAAGTTTCATGCTTTTATCACAATTTGCACAATACTTTAGCATATTGTGGCTATGCCGCACCACTACTAAAAACATATTTGCCTTAGAAGCATTTTAAACAAGCTAAAAACGGGCACGCTTGCCCCAAATCCTTGCCATGCTTTGCATCACTGGGCCCAAAACCTTGGCACGCTTGCCAACCACTCACTAGCCCCACCAGAACAAGTGGATGCTAGCCAAAGTGTTTTGACACGTGACTTAAGTATTTGTCACGTGACTTTAGTTTTATATGCCTATATTACTCAAGAATTTATTTGTAGTTAAAGCACACCGATTCGGTCCACCGCTCGTAGAGACGGTTGGCATGCCCCATCAGTACAAATGGGTGCTTGGCGTACTTTTTTACATAGTCAGGTGGCAAATGGTCGGAATCGTGACCGACTGGTCCAAAGCACCAAACTTTGCAGATATATTCTTATAGCCCTAAAGAAGATATTTAGAAGGGGTGACACCTGAAATTCTTTTGGGAAGGGTGCCTAATTTGCATAAATCGTTAATCCCTGCCGTGTAATATATTTATTCCCATATTTGGGTATATTTTTATTTTTATTTTTTTTGAAAAGTGTATTTTGTGATTCTACTTGCATATTCTTACTTCAATAACATTTTGTAAAACATATAAGTGACTGAATAATTACGAGGACATAGTAAAGAACCACAATTGCTACTATTTTACCCTAAAGTTACGCGCATTTACCTTTTCCTCAGATATCATCAACTTGTCTCGCCAAACGTGGGTATTGATGAGCTTTAAATTAACAAAGTTACTTACTGGCATAGTTACCCTAACAAAAATAAGTGGGAAATTAAGTGAAAATTGATAACATCTTGATGCTTAGCCCAAAAGACCAAAAAAGGGGAGAAAATGTAGTGTCCGTAAATTGGGCTAGTACGGGAAGGGTAACGTGGGAACTTAAACAAGTTCAAAAAATCCCCCTAAATAAGAGATTATTGTTGTTTTCAATAATTTTGTCTACGCCAAAATGTTTTCTCAACAATAATTAGGGGAATTTCCTTGAACTTGTTCCAGTGTTCCATGTTAGGCAACCATTCACCTACTTGTTAGCCTAATTTATGGACACCTCGTTTTTCCCCAGTTTTTGTTTTCTGGGCTTAATATCACAATGTTATCATAGTTCACATGATTTTGCATAAGGTTTTAATAGGGTAGCTGTACCAGTAAGCTACTTGGTGAATTTGAAGTTCATCAATGCTAATGTTTGGCAAGACTAATTGATGATATCTGGAGACAAGGTAAATGCGCGCAATTTTAGGTCATAATAGTAGCCAGTTTGGATCGTTACTATGTCCTCATAATTATTCAGTCACTTATATGCTTTGGAAAATGTTATTTAAGTAAAGATATGTAAGTAGAATCCCCAAAATATACTTTTCAAAAAAAAAAAAAAATGGAAATATACCCAAATATGGGAATAAATATATTACACGTCAGGGATTAACGATTTATGCAAATTAGGCACCCTTCCCAAAAGAATTTCAGGTGTCACCCCTTCTAAATATCTTCTCTAGGTCTATAAGAATATATCTGCCAAGTTTGGTGCTTTGGACCAGTCTGTCACAATCTTGACGAAAATTACATCTAAGCCACCTGACTAACAAAGGTTAAACACAACTTGTTAAATGTTTAACGTCCACATTCAAAGTCTTACTTAACCCTTTAGTGCCTGAGAGTACTTGCTGGCTACTAAAATTGATACTACTGGCTGTGTGTCTCACTGTAGGCTCACTAATTGGAGAAATATTCACATTTGCCAATTTGCATATTTAATTTTCAATTTACGAAACGTCCACGTCCCACATATGTGGACGTCAGGCATTTACAGTTGCGTTACACTATATTCCTCATGAATTCCTCATAATTGGTTAGTGATTAGCCCCATAAATGTGGCCTATTTACTGGACTGCCTCCGTAAACATAGGCCACACATCCACATGTACAAAAATCGTGTTTCGACTTTGCCAAATTTTGATTTTCACATTTAGGCTTAGTTTGTAGGGTTTTTTTTGCTTTAGAAGCATACTCACCCTCTTTATAGGCTAATCAGAAAGTGCTGCCTTTTTCAGATGTATATTTTTCGTGAAATTTCCAGATTCATTTTTACACGTTTGCGTATCAAAATTTCAACATGAAATTTCACAAAAATTAGACATCTGAAAAAGGCAGCACTTTCTGACTAGCCTATAAAGAGGGCGAGTATGCTTCTAAAGCAAAAAAATCCTACAAACTAAGCCTAAATGTGAAAATCAAAATTTGGCAAAGTGCGACACGTTTTTGTACATGTGGATGTGTGGCCTATGTTTACGGAGGCAGTCCAGTAAATAGGCCACATTTATGGGGCTAGTTAGTGATAAGCATTCTGGCAATAATTGCAGAAAATGGCAAGAATGAAATGTGGAAATAATGTAAAATTCCGAGCAGGCATACATGTCAAT